GCGATTGCTGGTCGTCCATCGTCGGCTTCGTCGGCTGCATGGTCCTGGGTGGCAGAAGTCCGTATTCCGGGTGTAGACCTTGGGTGCGACGACTGGTCCGAGTTTCAGGTTCCGCGTTGAGTGGTCTTTTCACCGGGCTTGGAATCGGGCTTGCACTGCGGGCCCTGGGAGGGGAACGCTGCACGGGCATGTGGTACCCCGCACCTCCACCAAAATGTCACGGGTGGTGAGCAAAAACACATAAACAAACAGGAAGAAATAAACGTTTAATGTGGCGAACTTGTGCCAAAAATAAAAGGAAAAGAAAAGACAATAACGGAGCGTCGCGGGCGTCGAAGTCGGCGTAGCAGCAGAGTCGAACGCTGGGGCGAAACTGAATGCAGATCGCCACGCGGAGCCCCCTATGTACACGTGTGGGCTTCTGGAATAATCGGCGCAGAAGGTTCGGCGTGTAGAACATTCTGACCTCGAACAAGCCCCAACATGATTCTCGAATTTACCAGAACATTACTTTACAGAGTGAACAAAAATGTGCCTCCGCGGCCAGGAATTGAACCCTGGCTTTCAGCGGGGAAAGCAAGCGCGATAACCGTTAGGCCACGCGCGCGCTGCCTACTTGGCCAGCTGCGCGCGCGGCAATATCGCTAACGAATATCAAGAAGAGAAAGAAAGATTTTGGGGGTTAATGGCGCAAAAGCTACGAGGCCATCTGCGCCAAACTAGTTGTAAGGATCATTGTACTAAAGGAAAGGTTTTACAAAAGATGGACCAAAAAGCTAGAGTCGGTGTAAAAGGCCAATACTGCTAAGAAATTCCATTACCCGTTCAAAAGAGACTAGAGGATTCTCTCCCACAAGGAGAGCAGGATGAAATGGGATCTGATATTGGAAAAATTCAGGGAAATGAATGCGGCGCTTGGGCTGAAGGCCGGGACACAGCCACAAGATATGCAAAACAGTGAGCCTGTCACCACACTGATCACACACAGGTGGATCTTCTCCCGAAAGCAGATACCTATGAGTTATAAATGAGTGTCCAATTCTCAGGCGGCACAACAACGTTTCATGAAGTCGGCTCTTGCATGAAGAGCTTTCCCAAACTCCTAATGTAGGTTTGGTAACATGAAGCTTGTTATCGCACTCCATGTCCCATTCCAATTGCCAAGAATGAAGAATTGAGGACTTCACCAAGGGCTTAATATCTCGATAGGGTAGACAGGAGAGTGATTGTGGAAGGTTCCCAGCAGACCCTGCAAGTTTGTCGGCTTCTTCATTGCCATGAATGCCAATGTGACTGGGCACCCAACAAAATTTTATATTTTGACCCCCATGCAAAGCAGAGTTAAGTTTATATCGAATTTGTTGTACAAGCATATTTTTAGTATCTTTAAGAGAGCAAACTGCAAGAATCACACTTTGAGAGTCAACAAACAGGACTGCCCTCAGTATTTTACTATTGATAATATATTCAATCGCCATTGATACCGCATAGAGCTCCGCAGTAAAAATGCTGGTGATACAATCAAGTCGTTGAACCTTGGAGAAGCTTTCAGAATACACAGCACAACCGACAAAAGAGGAGGTTTTGGCACCATCAGTATAAACATGAAGATAACCATCATACTTATTTCGCAGTTCTTCAAACTCTTGCTTAATTACAGCATGGGAAATGCCGTGTTTGTTGAACTTTGCGAGAGACCAGTCGGATTCAACTCGCTGTGTTTTCCAAGGTGGAATACCGTTGACTTTCCGAACGAGGACGACCTGGTCCAGAGAAAGGTCCAGCGAGGAGCGAAGATGTTCAATGCGGAAGCTTAACGGTCTTACAATGCTTGATTTATTTTCAAAAAGGCGATAGAACCTTGACCTTGTGAGGGAAGAGTAAGTTGGATGCTGAGGGTCGGCCAGAATCTTGTAAGCATATGTTAGACTAAGATATGTATGTCGTTTGTTCAGGGACAGCTCACGAATATCAAGAACAGAAGCGGACCAAGTACCCCTGGGGGGCACCTGAAATTGAACGAAACATTTTAGAGTGAGTGTCGGAAATGCGAACACTATTTCTGCGATAAGACAAATAACTTTTAAATCAGATACATAATACCAAACAACAACCATATAAAGGAAGCTTGTTTAATATAGCAGCCAGGCCAATAGAGCCCTGCGCGGATAACAGTTTGATTATCCGTATCCGATCCGCGTCCGCAGACTTTGTATCCGTACTGTCCGAGCCGCATCAGTAAATATTTTTACATGATTGCATCCGCATCGAGTCCGCATCCGCATAGTTTGTATCAGGATTCGAACCGGCATCCGCAGAATGTAGAACCACATCCGGCTCACAATCCAGGCATTCATTGTATATCATAACATTAAGCGTAAATGAAGAAGAAAAGAAAATACAAATACAACTTTTTTGGTCGTTGGCTTATCTTTGTATAGAAAAATCTTCGGGCCACCATTCAAAGGGGATGTCATTTTATCAATACCAGTTTCATCGTATTTATATTAAAAGCTATCAGCCTTCCCGAGACACTGCGCGTCGAAGGAGAAATGATTTCAATTATGTGATTGTCCTAGGAGTCCGCGGCACATTGCCCGGAGAAAGTCTTCGGCTCTTTTTCTGCCAATGCATACTAGCTTAACCGAGACAATTAATGCCCTGGATTCTTTAATTTTTCTACAGATAGCATTTTTGAGGAGATGGAACGCACTAACTGAAGCGATCTTCAGTGAGAATCCGATCTTTCTTAGGATCCCGATCGTTTCTCCGAAACGCGTTTTGTGGAAATATGTTTCGTGGACAACGTTTCATGGACACACATTTCATGGACACACGGTTCGTCGACGCTGTACGTTTTGTGGGCACATGCCCTTGTGACGTGTTGCCGGCAACGCATTTCTTCACTAAGCCGCTAAAAGCTAGCGCATGATTCACTAAGGCGTGCTTAACCAAACCATGCCTCCCCTCCCCTTCCCTTTCCCCTGTAATCCAGGCGAGACGCAAATAGTTTATTACGAAAATAGCAGGGTTGTGTGTGTCGAAACGTCTCAGGTTTTTCGATGAACTGCCCGGTGGCATTCAGTGGACGAACTGAATGCCACCAGGCAAAAATTTAGATCCGGATCCGCGGATATCCGAATGATCGCAGCCCCTGGCATTCGTATCCGAACCGCAACCCGCCAAAACTTGTCTAATTTCTATCCGCATCCGCAAGTTTACTGCGGATATCCGCGGATATCTCGGATAATCCGCGGATATGCAGGGAGCCCGTGGTCAACTTTATCGAATGCTTTCGGCATGTCGAAGTAAATAGCATCTACCTGTCCCTTGTTCACAACAACAGGTACAGAGTAATTTAAAAAGGAACACAAGTTTGTCTCAACCGACCGACCTTTCAGGAACCCATGTTGCACGGCCGTTAATTTCTGACGGAAATAAAACATAGCACGGTTATGCATCAGAGTTTCAGACACCTTCGAGAACCCGCACAATAACGAAACAGGGCGATAATTACAAACAACTGAAGCATCACCCCCCCCCCCTCCCCCCCCCCCCCCCCCCCCCCTTAAATTTGGAACGACAACCGCCTTCTTCCATAACAATGGGAAGATGGATAAAGAATATCCGACTGCAGCCCATGGATGCTACGAGCTGGATAATGAGTCATTCCCTGTGCTCGATTGGTTTAACTGCTGATAGCAAACAAACAAAGACGATCGAGCGCCATGAATATGTACTTCTGGCACTGTTTGATTGGCTACCCCAGGTCGTGAAGTCTTAACACTGTCACCACCTTCCTTTCTTTCTTTTTTTTTTTTTAAGTGGCCTTTGGTTTGTGGTTTTATGTTATTTTCGCAGATGTTTCTTCATGTAAAACGTTGTCTTTACTTTGAAGCCGCCTCAGTGGATCCGACTCGGAGCGCCGGCTGACGGTGCCACCAGTAGACATGATTGTTAAATTACTCAAGCACCAAAGGGAATGCTCTGGGAGCGTATAGGTACTTACTCGTGCTGCACGCGCTGGTCTTCCTCGTGTAAAAGGTGCGAAGTAAATTATAATAACAAAATTAAGGCAACGACTTTAGTCTTCAAGGTCCTATAATGCATAAGATGCATTACAAAGAGCTGGTGTGCCACATGACGAATATTCTTCAGCTAATTTTAGCTGGGAAACTGAATTGGTGTGTAAGTCACGTGACGTCAATTTCCCACTTAATTTAGCGGGGAAACCGAAATGATGTTTCACCCACAAGACGGGAATATTCCCACTAAATTTAGCGGTGAAACTGAGCTGACGAATACGTCACGTGCCGTCAATCAATTTTCCCAAGGAGTACAGGTCACGTGACGTCAGGTGACATCATGGGATGCCACTTTTCACGATAAGTTTAGCGGAAAATGCACGGACGTCGAACGGACGCACGGACCAAAGTTTTGGCATGGCGGGGTAGCGTTAAAAAGCGTTTCATGCTTTTAAAAAGCGCGTTGAGGAATGCACGTGGATATGGTTTTATAATCTTGCTTTTGAACAGCTGCTGCTGCAGATGCCAGAGCTTGCAACGCGTGTACCTACGTTCCCGGCATTCCTTTTAATGCTCGGGGAATTCGGCAAAATCTCTGCGTTTGATTTACGACAGAGGTGCCCACAACCTGACGGAGAATTTTACGGCGAGCAAGAGTTCCAAAATGCGTTTTTGGCTCATCCGAATGTATATGGAGGACCACGACAATAAAAAGGTAATGCAGAGAACGCGCGATAACTAGACGGCCGAGCGGTATTGGTCGAAGTCCAGGGTAATCAAAAGCATATGGGTGCGTTTGGGGTGTAAGCAAACGCACAAGGTGTGCAAGGAGCACCCGATCTTACACGGGGTACTGCAGAAAATACGCCATGTAACCGAAATTTCGGCTGCACGGCAATAAAGACCCAGGTAGTTCGGCACGTAAAGTTTCCAATGTGACTTTGACCATTGCTTCGAAATGACTCTGCTACAAAGTTCATGAACAAGAGTTACTTTATTAATAACAAGTGATCACTTCGGACTTATGAAAGAAACTTGTATTAACATAAAGATAAATAGAGAAAAATATTATTAGGAAAGCGAGGAATAGATTAGTCTGAAATGCGCTCATGACTCTGTTCTTCAACCTTCTTGTTATCTTGTTTCTTCAACTCCCTCCATAGGCTAATGATTATCGAAGCTTGTGGCAGTGCTGCCACCTTATCTCGCAGGCGTTCCATCTGCTCTTTTGTCAGGACTTCTTTCCAGTCATTGGCTCTACCCTTTCGGAACAATTCCAGCTTCGGCGCATTGTCTACCCCTGTCGGTTTTGTCGCAGACGTATCGTCTGCATTCACCTCACGAACATTCGTGAACACCGCTGTAAACGCTTTGGCATCAACGTCGAAGGCACCCCTCATGTATTCTATGGTACTCTTCCTCAACACACGATCGAAGATTTCTCGATCATCTTCCAGCATTTTGCCGTGCTCTTCGCCGAGGAAGTAGGCTATCTTCAGAACCGCAGAAGGTTTCTCCGCCTTCAGCTCTTCGAAGGTAAGAAACAGCACGTTCGTGTAATCCTTAAAACTATGGCCAGAAAGAACGTGGTCAAAGTAGTGCCCAAAGCCGAAGTTTGTGTTCAAGAACGTCTCGAAGAAGTCATCCAGGGTTCCGTTTTGAAAACGAAACCCAGGAACGCACTTCGCTACGTGGTAAAAAGATACGCAGACGTCCCAGGGGCTGCGCGCCACATAGATGTACTTGGCCTTTTCATTGAAGTTGTACCGCAACAGATCGAAGTGAGTCCTTGCCACCCTGGGTGGTTGCAGGTCTTCAAGCGACTTCAGACCTTGAGCCTCGAGGGAGGGCGTTCGTTTCACAAGTTCGGCGAAGTTTGAGGTGCTCTCGCCGCGGTTTAGGATAAGCTGGATGATCTGTAGCGTCCAGTGGCTACCGGATTTCGGGTAGGTGATCAGGACGACGTCACCGTCTCGGGGTCGATGTTTCAGAGCCACGCGGACCGTGTCTGGGTCCAGGAGCGGCGACCGTGGAACGCCGTCGATCAGTTGAAAGTGTGGAGCTGGCCGGGATGTAGCCATGACTGGTAGCCACAGTACTCTAGGCTTCACCTGCGTGTCCATTGAGACGACAGGTTTATGCCGTTAAAACGTATGCATGAAGTACAAAAAAAAAAAAAACAACATCAATCTCAATTATGCTCAAATTAAACATATTTTATTAAAATACCTTACTTGAGCCGTCTTACGTCTCAGTGCTGAGTAGGCACTAGCACAGATCTATGCAATGTAACATATATTTTCTTTTTTTTTTTTAAATTCCAATAACTTCAGAGATTTTCCTTACAAACACTTGGTAACGACGGAATTCTTAGGTGCATTTAAAACGATCAAACCCGCTCCACGTTCAGGCTGAGGTCCTGCGGTGGTTTCTCGAAAAAGTTTAAAATTGGACCCCTAGATGGCGACGCCAATCCGTGTTGCAGAGAAACTGTGGTATGACCCATTGCACCGATAAAATAGTAATTGGGTTGAGTGTGTTTATAGAGCCTAGAACTTGATCTGCCTCAACGGGCGACGAGCCTCCCAGCTGTACATGAGAAATTTAGCCAGTGCAGTTGGCAACGATGTTCCGACTGGTCCCCTGTGGACGTTGCATGTTCACCGCGTGCTCTTGCCTGCGTTATGCGGTGTCAGCGCTGCCTAGTTTGCTCGGCTGCTAAGCAAAGCAAACTAACCCAGCCAGCTCATCTACCGGAGGATACCAACCTGGGTGACTTTTATTCTCTGACATGGGCTGATGATCCTGGTGCACTAATTTCTGCATGTTTTTGTGCAATACAGTAGGAAGTGAGATCTTTCGGCTTAACTTGTTAATATTTTGTAAATAAACAAAAATAATTGTTCAGAATAAACGTTTAGCATGCCCTCTCTTTTAAGACACAGGATGACAAGGACGTCTGCTCGGAAAGTAGCGACGCTTGGAGATTGATTTGTCTGATCAATACGGTACGAATTAAAAGCGACCGGATGTTACGGAATACTGCTTCAATGAACAAGAAGGTAGGGCTCAAACAAATCTGGAGTAAAAACAAAAAACAAAAAAAAACGAAGGGCTTTGTTTGTTGTGTTGTCCACCGTTTTTTTTTTTTTTTTTGTCTTAGTTTTTTTAGGTTTTGTTAAGAAAATGTGTTTCGCAGGAAGGCGCTGCATATTGGTTAAATTAAACTGTCTGAATAAAAGCTGTGCCTACAGACAACTGCATTCCTTGAGGTGCAAACTAAGTTAGGTAGCTTGAGTAGATCGTTCTGATATCTCCGATAAGTGTACTCGATACTTGGCCGCGCCTTTGTCATGCACACAATATTGCTATCAAAGTGCAAAACATATTTGGATGTTTTCATCTAAATACAAGCATAATTTGGGGTCAATAATGTCACCTTAAAAAATATATATAATTTTTGAGTTAATTCTTGAAACAAAAGAGAGCGCAAACGATAAGCTTGGCAATTTCGTTTTTCATGTTATTTATCATTGAAGCGACCAAGGCCACAACTAACGTTTCTCCGGCCTGTCGGGGCTCACGAGTTTAACAGCTCGCTATTTTGTCACTTCTCAAGCAATGCACTAACATTCTTCTCTGACATTTTGAAAATAGATTTTATAATGGGAAATGAAATAAAAATAAAGTCTTGTATTTTAAAAGAATAAAATATTATATCTAACAATCCCCCGTTGGTTCGGCAATTTTCATATACCTTGATATCACCAGAAAGCTGAAATGGAGCTATTTTTGTTTAATATAATTTTCATATTATTTGTACAAATGAAAATGCTCTATATATATTTGCTTCATTTGCCAAGGTATTATCGTGATCCAGCTATCATGAAATGTAAATAAAATATATTATTTTGCGTATATAACCGGAAATAAAGCTTGAATATCATGAACTGTGCGTTGGAAAACGGCAAGCTTTATTGCGGATTAAAATCATTTTTACTTCTAACTACACACAATTTCAATATATTTCTTATATCTATTAGTTTCTTAATGACAACGTGACACTTCGTTTAGATATACCTACGAACAGAATCGTAATCTGTGCAGCGGGGCATCCGTTCGTAATCATTTTATCATTTTCTACGTCAAACATAAATTTACTGCAGTGTCGTTCAACTGCCAGCTGGATCATAATCCCCGCCCAAAGTTTTCAGCATCATAAACTGGGCCTTTAGCTCGTAAACTAGAGCTCGACCGTCGTAGTGGATGAGCCCGATGTTTAACTTTTTATAATTTTATATATAATGTAAATGCGTTTGCATTTAACTATTAAGCCGCCGATTTTGTTTTCTCGGTCATAGATACAAAACCACCCTAAAAATATTTTCTTTCCCATCTCAAATCAACGACGAGACGTCCCAGGCTACCCGATAACCAGGCCTCGCTTCCCCCATGGTCACTCCTCGCTTGCCCACTATAGTCTTATGTAGCATACTCGCACACAGCAAGACATGGTCAAGCCCAGGGTTCCAATACGGCCGTTGCTGTCGGGCAGGGGGCGCGAGCGCGTCCGCAAGACGCGACCATGGTATGCTCGCAGCACCATCCAGGTGGCGCTGCAACGTTCGATTTTGCGCGTGCCACGTTCGAATGCAAGCATCTGTCAGCATCTGTTACCGCGCGGTAACAAAACGTATATAAAAAAAACTAAACAAAAAAAACAAAAAAAAAATATGCAGCTCGCGGCCTAGGTGTCCGATTAAACATTCCTTTCAGCTTTATTTTTTAACTGCTTTCTGTAATAGCTTCCGTGAGCCTGTATGTTTCACTTTACTTGATAGCGAAGCCGAAGCTACTTGCTAAAGCCTGTTCCCCTGAAGGATGCTCGCACTGCACGAGCGCGCGACACTGCAAGCTCGGAGCTCGCTCTGGTAGCCTCTGCTACGCTGGCACTTATAATAGAACGGAGTATAAACAACTGTAGTGGGGAAGCGTATTGACGCTTGTTCAGAACGCTAGCCAAATATTCTATTTTGCTCGCCTGGAGCGTTGCTCAAAACTTGAGAGCTACGGGCCTATTGTGCCGCAAAATTTTTTTATCCGAGTTTCACCTTCCAGATAATATTTGCTCCGTAACGTTATTACCGGGAAAACAGCGTGAAGATACTTACGATGCAAGGGCTTTAGCAGTCCTATAGAAGGTTGGTGTTCGGAATGGCCTGTAAAGCCTTCTAACAGCTTGCACGTTTCCTGCTGGAGGTACACATACGTGTTTGCTATGCGAGCGGCAATGATCGAGAGGTCGTGGAATCACGGCAGAGCTGACTCACTGTTAGGTGTTTGGCCTCCAGTGCGCAAATGTGGATCCGACACACATACTCTTCACAGAGTGATACCGGCTCCAATCCGTTTCACTTTAAGTACGACCCCAGCCCATGGATGCTACGAGCTGGATAACGACGCATTCGCTGTGCGTGATTTCTTTAATGGCTGATAGCAGACAAACCAAGACGATCGAGCGCCATGACGATGCCCTTTTAGGCGGACCTTGATTGGCTCCACCAAGACGTAGAATCTAAACATTGTCACCACCTTTTTTAGAGCGGAGCTAGTTTCCCTCGTTTCGTGTCCCGTACAAAACAAATATCAACACAAAACTACACAAAAACTCTGGACAGCTACCGCCATCTATGAGCGACGGCGCCAACCAGACAACCAGTCTGGTTACCGCCGTCGCTCATAGATGGCGACAACCATTCCAGCTATCATAGAAGAAGGAATAATTGGGCGAGTTGGTGGGAATTCATAGTAGGAAACAGCGCGCAAAACAGACGAGGACGAAGAAGAAACACGCGGGACGAGCGCGCTCGTCCCGCGTGTTGCTTCTTCGTCCTCGTCTGTTTTGCGCGCTGTTTCCTACGTTCTTATGAGTTGCGGTTTGGACTCACGATGGGTCGGCCGCGTTACCTTTCTTCACCGGGTGCGGAAGGAGCGGCGGCGTACGCAGCAGCGCGAATGGGTCCTCAACCACCGCGAACCCGCTGTCGCCTCGAGTTCCGCTGCGTCGAGCGCTTCCCATTCCCTCGCGAAAGAAGAGCACATCGCTCGCCTGGAAAGCCGCCGCTGAGAACTGGGGCCCTATGTTGCGCTTTTTGGACTCCCACGGCGACTAGGCAGAAGGAAGTGACGTCAACGACACAGCAAACGCAGATTGGATGTTGACAGAAGAAAACAAAATCAACATCCAATCTGCGTTTGCCAAAAAGCTACAGCTCCACTGCTGTTCCTTCTTCACCAGAGTGGAAAGGCAGGAAATTTTAAGTGGGGCCTCGTTTGTGGTCACATGTTATATACGCAGATGTTTCTGTATCTAAAACGTTGTCGTTATTTTGAGTCCGCCTCGGTGGATCCGAGGCAAAGCGCGGGCTGATGGTGCCACCTGCAGACATTTTTGGTTAATTACCGAAGCAACAAAGGGAATGCGTATGTACACGTGGTGCACGCGCTGACCTTCCTTGTGTAAAAGGTGCAAACTAAATTATAAGAAAAAACTGGCAGCGAGGTTTACCTTCAAAGTCCCATAGTGCATAAGATAATAATAATAATAACAATAATAATAATAATAATCTTTTATTTTTCGGTTGCCCTAAAACGGCCAAGCGGCCTTCTCTTGGTTACACTAACTCGTACAATAGAAACTCTTAAACAATAATCCTACTTGTTACAAAATAGATTTGCGCATACACTGACGCGCTATGAAGGGACCAAAATTTCGTCCAACTGAATCCGATATGTAGACAGGGATGCGGTGATGTCAACTTGAGGCGGCACAATGATATAATGTCTGTAAACGAGAAAGAGGTGACACACGGCATGATGAACACATATCAGAACAGGTGAACTGTCTCGTGACGCGGAAAGGAACATGAAAATTGATTTTACTGATAAGCCATGAAGAATCAATGGCACCATTAATGATTTTATGCAGGAATACCAAGTCACGGACAGTTCTTCTCTGGGTTAAAAGCATCAGCGAAAATCTAGTTAGCATTTATAGTCATAATACACGCGTCGTCCAATCCATCTATCGTAAACATTTCGAACAAATCTTTTTTGTACACGTTCTATGATCAAAGCCTGAGTTAGATATTGAATTCCAAATCACAGAAGCAAACTCAAGATGCATTATAGGGAATTGGTGTGTCCCATGACGAATATTTTCCCGCCAACTTTAGAGGGGAAACTGGTCGCATAGGTCATGTGGCGTCAGGTCACGTGACGTCGATACCTTCGCTAAATTTAGCGGGGAAACTGGATTGGCGTCTAGGTCACAACACGTGAATTTTCCCGCTAAATTTCGTGGGCAACTGAATTGGTATATAGGTCACGTGACGTCAATTTCCCGCTAAATATAGTGGGGAAACTGAAATGATGTTTCAACGACGAGACGTGACTTTTTCCGCTAAATTTAGCGGTGAAACTGAGCTGACGTGTAGGTGACGCGCCGTCAAGTAAACAAAAGCAGGAGGCACGCTAGGAGCAGGCGTTCTTGCACGGGGTATTGCAGAAAAGGCACCGTGGTAACCAAAATTTCGGATGCACGACCATAGAGACCCGGGTGGTTCGACACGTAAAGCCCCCGATGTGATGACCGTTGCTTCGAAATGACTCTGTTACAAAGTTCATAAACCAGACTTACTTAATTAATAACAAGTTATCACTTTGGACCTATAAAAGAAACTATATTAGTAACGTAAAACTCAATGCACATATTATTACTAGGAAAGCGAGGAATAGATTAGTCTAAAATGCGCTCAATGACTCTATCATATTGAAGGTATTTAGCGCACCAGGTAGAGAGAAAAAGAACGGGACAGAAAAGAGCGCTACTCACAACTACGTTTACTGACAAGAAAAGAAAGAGAAAAAAAAAATAATCTGTCGTGGACGCGTACATTTACCGCGAGCCCCTTGATTGATATTGGCTTGTTCATCCAGGCTCATGTGTGCCATTTATTGTTTGTTGAAGGAATTCCCTCGCCTTGTTTAACAGCTTTACGTATTCCACACTAATACAATTCCTGTCCTCACGGAGGATGTGGAAGGCCCCCAGTACCTCGCAAGGCAATTTGTGTATGTTCTTCCCCAAGATGTTGGTCTCGCCGAATAATGGTTGGCACGTGCACTCCCTGCAATGGATTGGAAGATTTCCGCCCTTTGTATGCCCTCAAGGAGTAACCATGCTCCCGGAGTCGGTCATTGAGGCATCTGCCCGTTTGGCCTATGTAGCTCTTGCCACACGAAAGAGGTATTTTATATACGACGCCCGAAGCGCATGGAAGGAATCTCTTCGTATGCTTTTTGGTGCACTTGTGTTTTGTGCTACCCTCAGGATGCGCATTCACTCTAGGACAAATTTGAGACATTTTTTGTGGTGATGAAAAAACTACTCTGACCCCTTAGCGGCTTGCGGCGTTTTCTTTTTTTTTTTAATTATGGGACATCCTGTGCAGGTACGGTATTACTACTGGCCTTGTTTTCTCGACACTGGTCTTGTTGGACTGGATGCCCTTTGCCTTCTTTACCATAGCGTTTGCCAGATAAGCCAATAGGGCTGACGAATAGCCGGCTTTTCTTAGCCTCCCTACTTGTACACTGAAGGTGGCTGCCATAGTATGAAGACAGGACTTCTTTAGTGTCGAGTCCAGACATGTTAGAGTTATGCCGCTCTTTATGAATTTTGAGTGCGCCCAGCCATAGTCTAGAATGCCCTTCCTGGATCGTGGGCAGTATGACCAACAAACATGGATGTCACTCAGGTGAAGCGAAAAGTCGAAGAACTGGAGTATTTCTTTTTTTTTTTTGGGGGGGGGGGGGGCGGAGGGAGGGGCACTTTAATTGTACTAAGGACGCCTCCGTACTCAGCAAAGGTCGCCACAATGTCTGCGACTTGTATGTCCATACGTCCGCCATCTTCAAAAATTACCAGGAAGTTATCAACATAGCGGGCGACCTTGTTAACTTTTTTGCATCCAAGAGCACTTTCTATCACACAGTCCACTGCTCCAAGGTAGATGTCATTAAGGACTGGGGCGACGCAGGAACCGATACATACCCCTGACTTCTGCACTCATCCCGCCACCCAACTATCATAGACCTCAGGTAGAAATGTAATAGCTCCATAAAGCTCTCAATGGATACTCCGCTGGAACTTCGGAAAGCGAGCTCTTCATTGGCTTCTATACAATTTATCATGGAGGTCAGCAGCTGTTCATGTGGTAATGAGTAAAAAGGATTCTTCACATCACTACTGCGGGTACTGCCCACGATCCAAGAAGGGTGCACTCAAAAGTCATCAAGAGGGGCATAGCTCTAACGTGTCTGGGCTCGGCACTAAAGAAGTCCTGTCGTTATACTATGGCAGCCAGCTTTAGTATGCAAGTAGAGGCTAAAAAAAGCCGACTATTTGTTCTGGTGAAGGAGGCAAAAGGTTTCCAGTCCAACAAAACCAGTGTTGAGAAAACAAGGCCAGTAGTAATACCATACCTACACAGGATGTCCCATAATTAAAAAAGGAAAAAAAAAAAAAAAAACGTTACAAGCCGCTATGGGGTCAGAGTAGTTTTTTCATCACCACAAAACATGTCCCAAATTTGCCCTAGAGTGAATGCGCATCCTGAGGATACCACAAAACACAAGTGCACCAAAAAGCACGCAAACAAATTCCTTCCATGCGCTTCGGGCGTCGTATATAAGATACCTCTTTCGTGTGGCAAGAGCTACATAGGCCAAACGGGCAGATGCCTCAATGACCGACTCCGGGAGCATGATTACTCCTTGAGGGCTACAGCGGGCGGAAATCTTCCAATTCATTGCAGGGAGTGCACGTTCCAACCATCATTCGGCGAGACCGATATCTTGGGGAAGAACAAAGACTAATTGCCTTTCGAGGTACTGGAGGCCTTTTACATCCTCCGTGAGGACAGGAATTGTATCTGTGTGGAATCCGTAAAGCTGTTAAACATGGAAAGGGAACACCTTCAACAAACAATAAATGGCCCACACGATCCTGGATGAGCGAGCCAATATCATAACGGGGCTAATGGTAGATGAACGACTCTGTAGCGGATTATTTGCTTTTTTTTATTTTTCTTACTCTTTCTTTTCTTTTCAGTAAACGTAGTTATGAGTAGCGCTCTCTTCTATCCTGTTTTTCTCTCTAGCTTAGGCGCTAAATACCTTCAATAAGGTAGACTACCAACTAGCCCAAATGTCAACTTTACTCAATGACTCTGTTTAACCTTCTTATTATCTTGTTTCTTCAACTCCTTCCATAGGCTAATGATTATCGAAGCTTGTGGCAGTGCTGCCACCTTATCGCGTAGGCGTTCCATCTGCTCTCCTGTCAGAACGTCTTTCCAGTCATTGGCTTTACCCTTTCGGAAGAATTCCAGCTTCGGCGCATTCTCTTCCCCACTTGACTTTGTCCCTGAAGCATCGCCCGCATTCACATCACGAAAATTTGTAAGCACCGCTGTAAACGCTCTCGCATCGACGTCGAAGGCACCCCTCATATATTCTATGGTACTCTTCCTCAACACACTATCGAAAATGTCTGGATCGTCCTCCAGCATCCTGCCGTACTCTACGCCGAGGAAGTAGGCTATCTTCAGAACCGCAGAAGGTTTCTCCGCCTTCAGCTCTTCGAAGGTAAGAAACAGCACGTTCGTGTAATCCTTAAAACTATGGCCAGAAAGAACGTGATCAAAGTAGTGCCCAAAGCCGTAGTTCGTGTTCAAGAACGTCTCGAAGAAGTCATCCAGGGTCCCGTTCTGAAACCGAAATCTAGGAACGCCCTTCGCCATGTGGTAAAATGATTTGCAGACGTCCCAGGGGTTGCGCGCCACATAGATGTACTTGGCCTTTTCGTTGAAGTTGTGCCGCAACAGATCAAAGTGGGTCCTTGCCACCCTGGGTAATGGCAGGTCTTCGAGTGACTTCGGACCGTGAGCCTCGAGGGAGGGCGTTCGTTTCACAAGTTCGGCGAAGTTTGAGGTGCTCTCGCCGCGGTTTAGGATAAGCTGGACGATCTGTAGCGTCCAGTGGCTACCGGATTTCGGGTAGGTGATTAGAACGACGTCACCATCTCGGGGTCGATGCTTCAGAGCCGCGCGGACTGTGTCTGGGTCCAGCAGCGGCGACCGTGGAATGCCGTCGATCAGTTGAAAGTATGGAGCTGGCCGTGACGCAGCCATGACTGGGAGCCGAAGTGCTTTAGGCCTCACCTGTGAGTCCATTGAGATAACAGGTTTATGCCGTTAAAACTTATGCATGATGTACAAAAAACATGAATCTCAGTCATGCGCAAATGAAACATATATTGTTAAAATACCTTACTCGAGCCGTCATTCGTCTCAGTGCTGAATAGTCACTAGCACACGTCTATGCAATGTAACATATATACTATTTTTTTTATTCCTATATACCTTGAGTGATTTTCCTCAAAACACTTGCAAATTATGAAATATGTTGGTGTATTTGAAACGATCAAACCCGCTCCGTGGTCGGGTGCTTGAGGCATGTATAAAGCCGTATGAGGCCCCCACGCCAACGGCCTAACTCCCGTTGGCGTGCGTATGAAGTCCGCAGACAAGACACTGTGCCGCAAAGCTCCGCAGATCTATCATTAGTATAGCCGAAAATCGGGTCTGCAAGCCATTACTGTTTCAAAACTTGGGTACCTTCATTTTGCTATGGAAGGGCAACGCACCGATATGAATTTGCGCAGTAACTAATGCGTGATCCGATTGTTAAACTTGGGTCCACAGTATCCACACATCATACAAAGGACATGGTGTTCGCCGTAGCCATAATGATAAAATTATGTACGGTCACGCCTCAGAGTTGATCGAAGCATGTTTACTTCGTACATATGTATGCTTGGAACATGTGTGCTGACAGTGTTAGTATGACCAATATGGCAGGACCGTCGTACAAGGAGGATGGATTGATGGATGTTAATGGTTATACTCTTTGTAACGGGCGGTAGATTGTGCCACCTAGCCTATGTCTAAAACGCCCCAGACGGTGTCTACAGACTATATTCTGTACAATGTGCTAACTGTGTGACCGTGGCTTTAGACATTCTGCGCGAACAAAATCGACAAACGGAGATACCTGCAGACGCTATTTGTATGACAGACTATGCGCAGAGCAAGTCGTCTGGTTCTTGCGCAGGATTTGAGGGGACGTTAGGACCACGCCGAGCTTTGATTGGCTTTGATTCAAAGGATGGTGGGTAGACCACAAGGTCTACCCCCCACCCTTAAGGTGTACCCTTTATTTTGTTTTCATTTCAATTAGCCAATAAGAGCTGGCCGTACTGACATAATCGCAACCCCTGTGCAAGAAGCAGACGAACTTGTTCTCCGCATAGCTTCTTGCCGTTGTATAGATATTCCTACCCACATTTTACGTTTGCCTTCAAATTTGAACGAATACATTTGTTATGCGGTCATTCAATTGGGTTTCTTTGTATTCTCATCTTTATATTTGACTTACACTCCCAAGCAGCACCAATGTGGCCAATCATTGACCAATCGCTGGAAATGTTCCTTTAGCCAGTGGCCAGACAGTGGTCAGCCATTGGCTGATGACTGACCTTTCTCTGGCCATTGGCAAATGGCTGCTGGCCATCAGTCATCGGCCAAGCATTGGCCGATGAATGGTCTGACTCTTTGGCAGTTGGCCAAAAGACTATCGCCAGCCAATGGCCAAAGCTTGGCCAAATTCCGTGCTACTTGGGGTTCTTATTTGATTGTATGACGTATTTTACTCCCTCTTGTTTTTCTCCCTGTATATACAGGAAGAAAATACGTATACAATGCAGCACATAGTTGAAGTTCATGTTATTAACAAAAATAACAATAGCGCAAAAAAAAAGATTACCCAGTCGCACGCTAGACACTGTGAAAGTGGTTTTGTTAACGGACGTAATTATGTAATCAGTAATGCTATGTTCAGACTACGGACGTAACGTTCAGATCTTACCTAACACACGCCAACCTAAGGCTCAACAAGCGGAACAAGATCGTTCAGACCACGATTGCTTGTCGTCTGAACGAGATGGCTTACGTTTACGTGTGTTATGAAAGTTGGGTGCGTTGCGTCCGGAGTGCGAACATAGTATAGCTAGCTAAAACAGAATGGCGGTGTACGATATAAAGTAAACGATAACAAAGACACACACAGAAAAGAAAAAAATGCACTCACCTTCGTCCCTGGAGGCTGGCGTCCGCTCCCATAGTAGTGGTCAAAACTATTATGAGACAGGTCTGATGGGCGTTGCACAAAACGAAAAAACGTCTTTAGTGGCCCATGGGACATCAACACGCACGCTGCCCCAATCTTATCACGGGCCGTCGGTCTAACAACTGACGCGAGGCTCTCTGGAGTTCGTCCCTCAGACATAGCAGACAGCTCGGTTCACTTTTAGAGATTAATTGCCCCACTTTGGCTCAATGCCCTTGCGTGCTATCAATTCCATCTCGAGCAAGAAACGAAGAAATGTAGGTTAATTGCCTTGTCTGTTATTAAGAAGTCGCTTAGCTCGACTCAAATCTGTGTGACTTCCATCCAATGTGGCCACTTGTGACCTTGTGAGCATTTTTTTTTTGTCATTATTCGCGGCGTTCTTGCAAGTCAAGGAAGACCCATCCATACGGCTGGAACATATGTGAGGAGAAAAAAATAGACGAAAAATGTTTGGTGCTCGTTTCGAAATACGGGATATTTGCTGCGTGGGAGTCACAGATAGGTTTTCGCCGAACGCGTGCAGTATTGTAAAGGTTTTAACTTTTCAAATTCTCGACTTTAAAAATATCGCGAAACAAATGTACCATGCAAATATATCAACGCATGATGACGAATATCACTTCCAATCGCGAAATTTCGTCTCCAGGAAATATTCTCGAAATACTGAATTCCTGACATATTGAGCACGCGAAAATGATACCACTTTCATTATTCACGACTTTTCTACGGCTGCTACCTGCATGGCCAGAAATTTTTGACATACGCTTCTAGTTCATTTATCTGTCCCAACGTGGCGTATCCACCGTCTGGGGCGCTGGGACTCGTCAAGCTGCAGGCCTGCAGCTTTTTTTCCAGCGCCCTTGTAACAAATGTGCTGTTTATAGCAAAATAAACGAATTTGAAATATGATATTTGAAACTTTTAAGCCGTGTGCAAATTCCTGCCAAAGCGGAGTTTATGCCAAGGAAAAAACAAAAACAAAAAAAAACTAACTTTAAAGATGAAAGAAAGGATGAGGTAAGGAGTGTCTTGGTGTTGCAACATACTGATAACTTTAGCGTTCTCCCATGCCATTTCATGGCGATACTACGATCAAGGGATGAACATAAGAATTTCTAAACGAAATGCGAAAACACGGCTGTTGTTCTTCCGCTCCCCTAGTTCGTCTGCTGTGTACTGGCGTGGACGGCCACATTTGGCTACCTCCAAGGTTGCGGCCGCCGACGATGGCGCCGCCAAGTTTTTAGGCGCCAAGAGGAGCACAAGCGCTGTGGCATCACGCAGTGCAAAGCTTCATGCTTACATTGCATAATGCCACAGGGCAGACTTAATTCTGATGTCTAAGCAGATGTTCCGTCTCATCTGAGTTGATTTCGTAGATCAAAACGATTGGCTCTTCGAGTGCTTGGCGGGTAAGTAGACGCGTAAGCATTTTCAAAGGCCCGTTCACACTCTTGCAACCGCGTACGACCGAGAGAGACAAGATTTGTTAAAACCCCTTAAAATTTCTTAGGACGAGGGAACACACCGGCATTCTGGCGCCATCTCTGGGGTGACCCTGGAACTGCATTTCACAACAGCGAAGGTTTTGGGGGATTTCCGAGGTCAAATGTGCGTAATACCTATCAGAAAGTCTCGTTTATAACGTTTACAAAAGTTTATGAGGCCAAGAAAGAATGGATTAGTAAACAGGATAACCGGGCGGGTTGGTATGGATTCATAATGGAACAGCGCGAATTTTTGCAGGGACAGAGGAAGGAATTGAACAGGACGAGCGCTGACTAACAACTGAAAGGTTTATTCTCGGGAAACCACGAAGAAAAACATACGACAACACGACTCTAATCACGATGGAAATGCGCATGCGCCTCACAAAATTGGGTGCTATATGTTACACAATGTTATATGCGTCATCCCCGATCTAGAAATTCGACCTCACTGTCCAGCAAATTCAAGGCCACGTAACAAGCTAAGCAGTATTTGCTCTGTAGTGGAAAAGCGCGTTAAGAAGGTAGAGAAACAGGGGGAGAGCCCGTGCGGCATAAAACACCGCATTGAGTTCGTGCCATGCATCTTGGGTGTAGTACACAAGATACCCTTCACCTAACTGGGCGGTGCCTCAACATTCGCCTGCCGGAAGACCGTAGTTCTTTAACAGGTACGGCAAGCTCCCACTTAGCGTTACACTGCTGGGACTGCACCTGCGCACCGTTATTTGACAAAGCCGTTGTTTTGTATAAACACAGGGACCAAAAAGCTCGAGAGATTGTCGAAGCTCATAGAATAAAGAAGGAGGGGCCAGCCTGCGTGAGTCAGGCTTCCTTGAATTTGCTGGACAGTGAGGTCGAATTTTTAGATCGCGGATGACGCATATAACATTGTGTAACAGATAGCACCCAATTTTGTGAGGCGCATGCGCATTTCCATCGCGATTAGAGAGTCGTGTTGTCGTATGTTTTTCTTCGTGGTTTCCTGAGAATAAACCTTTCAGTTGTTAGTCAGCGCTCGTCCTGTCCAGTTCCTTCCTCTGTCCTTGCAAAAATTCGCGCTGTTCCGTTATGAAAGAAAGGATAATGCTCGAGAGAAATAGAAAATACGTCGGACCACCAAGGTTACACTGCTACCCAATAGATGGCGCCACTACGTCAAGTGCTGATTGTTGGGCAAGTTGGTATGGTACGTTAGAAAACATGATTGCGCTTTGAAGACGGTCTGTGGTGTCTGTCCTTCCTATGTCCCCGTCTTCAAAGCGCAATCATGTTTTCTAACGTGCCACTATGTCCTCTCGGTGTAAGAGGTTTTAAGGAACCCTGTTCTAAGAGGTCACAAGAGTGTGAACGGGCCTTAAGGGTGTAGAAAAAAAGCTCCTTTCTGATTTGCTCAGAATACCGTATTTCGCTCGTGTTCAGCGTGACATATATTTTCTTTGTTTGTGTAATATTTTATTTACAAAATATATGCGCATGAAAAGCATTAAGTGGCAGACAAATTGATAGATAAATAAAATTGGGATTTTATTTTTAGAAAATGCATGATATAAATGGTCACACTAAATTAAAACATTCTGGCGGGCTAGTTGGTTACACATAATTAAATTACAAATAGCGCTAGGACGAGGACAGACATCTTCTTAGAGCGCCAGGTTAGAAAAAGACCTATTTTTTCTTCTTTTTTCAACTCCAGACACTTCCTTCACCTTCTTCTTTAACGTTGTATATATGCTCCGTGCGGGAACTATAGGGGGCGCTTTGAAAAACGCGCGTAGCGCCGCTAGCGGAGGAGCTGGCGTTCGACAGTGAGGCGCGCTCAGCAGCCTGCGGCGCCTTTTCGCGTGCGAAGCTGTAGCGGCGGAACCGCCCGCGGGCGGAACTTTTGCTTTCTGAGCCGATAAGTTGAGGGTGACGTTGCATGACTGCTGGGGCAGATTTAAGAAGGGCATTTAGCTGTTCTCCGCTTCTTATATACTGAGTTTGAGTCGTTATTAGGGGTAATAGGGAGTGTCGTAGACCGCGTTGCCCCCTCCGCTAAGTGTTCCGCAACGAAGTTGCTACTGCGCCTGCGCGCCGATAGCCTTGACTGTGGAGTTCCCGCTATCGTAGCGGGTTGCGGAGGGCCTTGCGGGACGGCAAAAACGATCTACGAAAACTCCCTAATTTCTTTAGTAGCGGTCGAAAAAGGGGTTTGAGCAATTTTCCGAAAAGCAAGACGGCCGCCACCATAATTGCTCTCAGTGGAAAATTTGTTTCGCTCGTCGCTGTAAACGTAGGACTTCTGAGACGATTATATTTGGACGCGAGTGAGATGTTCACTAAGTTTGTGCCCTAAGTGGGCCAAGTTTTATTAAGACAGCAGGCGTGAAAGTTATGGTTCGAACGAATACTAGGAATAAAGCTGTCAAGAATATCCAATATTGGACCCAAAATGTTGTGTTATAACCGGGCTGTGCGAAGTGCAGATTTGGACACACAGGTTGTTGGAGATGACCGTAACTTGACATAACAGTTATAAAAAATAGGTGGCATAGGGAAACCAGGTAGAAATTTGGTTTGGGCGGCGTAACTAAATGGTAAGCTGTTTTGACCGTGAAAGGGCTGTCAAGAAAATACCATTCGTCGTGGGTGATGGAGACTTACAGGTAAAAAGGGACTAGTGCACTGTACTTCCAATTGAAACAACTTTACGAAATGTGGTTTCAAAACCGAGAAAGTCAAGTTTCCGGCTGACACAAGGTTTGGCCGTCAAAGGCTTTTGCAGTCAGCTGTTGTGTATAGTAATCTGGTTGTGTGAGTGCTGATTTTCGGCACACAGGTACTTTGACAACCGTAACTTGACAAAACACTTATACCTAAAAGAGGTGGCATAGTTTAACCAGGTGGAAATATTTTTGGACGGCGTAACTAAATGGAAACCGGTTTTGACCGTCAAAGGCTGTCAAGAAAAAACCACTCATCATGGCCGGGAGGTGCATACTTTAAGGTAGGAAGGGACCAGTGGACGGTACTTCCAGTTAGAACAACTTTGCGATGGGTGGCTCTAAAGCCGAGAAAAAAATGGTTGTCTACAAGACAAGAGGTGTCAGCGTTTCCACATCCAAAAGGAGGCTGATCAAAAAAGAAAGCACACGACATAAACTTCCATACTCAAACATCGATTGTCCAGTGATTCCAAGTTTCATTGTAGTTTTTCTTAGATTCATATTTGTAATTTTTTGTACCGTCCGAATCTTTGTTCATGAAGTACAGCCTGCGTGCCTTACTGGTCTGGAAATATCATCGACACGTACGATGGGGACGAAGCTTCTTTGGACGGCATTCCTTCAACGAAATTCGCACTGCATACCCGCGAGTGTGGGATGGCATTTCAGTCGAGCTGAGATATGTAGGCGTTACTGGTACGAAAACAGACGCAGAGGGCAAAACGGCAGCGTAGCATATGTCAGCCGTGCCGACGCAGTGGCAGACATGATCGGGAGACCATATTTCTCGCGTCGTACGGCACGGGTCCATCGTTGTCGCTGTCCCACAAAACATCGGCGAGGTGAAAAACTGTGAAACTTCGTCCCCACGACATACGACGCATAAATATCGGAGCACTTAACGACGCAGCAGTTCATGCTGTCAACCCAGCGGAACCGCACCGCTCCGACTTCAATGCGTACCAATGTACGCTGCATAATTTCGTTTCGCTGTGGCTCTCACTGCCTACCTTCGGTAACGGCCGCACGGCGGCACGCCGGTCGCGTCGCACGGAGTGTATAAAACCGTCAGTTGCCTGTCCTGTCCACTTCTTCGTCTGTCCTCGTCCTAGCGCTGTTTGTAATTTAGTCACACTAAAACTGGAGTACTTCAAATCACAATATCAATTCTGCTTAAAACCACAATTCAAACCATTTTCATTCATAAGCTTTAGCATGCTTTGCGCGACCCTGCAAAAAAAAAATTGAAGATAAAGCATTACCGCACGTTCACAAAAACTACGAGTTTGAGACGCTGGGTAGCGTCGAACGCGCGCTGATTCGTCAGTTTAGTTCACTGCGATGAACCAACAGCGCAGAATCACTAGGAAACTCGTGAATCCTGCGTTTCAAGCACAGCGTGGCAACAAATGCCATTAATAGCAGTGAAGAGCAACCGCGCGTTAACAAGAGTCATATTCATAGTCTTCTTTCCACATGTGATTGGTTAATCGCAAGTAGCAACCGGCAGTTCAACTTCTTGATTTAGTTGCCACGGTTGCCGCGATGACATCGTGGTTTCTGTCGTGCAGCAGCAAGGGCGGATTCAAAACTCCGTTTTTTTTTTTTTTTTTTTTTTTTTTGGGGGGGGGGGGGGGGGGCGGAAAATTTGTAGGAATGCTATTCGCGACTCCAGCGACCTATAGGGGGCGCTACCACCAAACAAACATGGCGGCTGAGTCCAGGTCGCGGCGGCTCGGCCGGGCCGCCTGAACAGGTGGCGCGTTCAATTTAACCGATTTTCTTTTGTTTAATGCCCAATTTTATAGGTATTTGAACTGAGACGGTTAAGTGTAGCCGGTGCAGATAAACTTGCAAAGCATAGTTTTGTTTTGCCGGTGTTTTTTTGTTTTTTTCGTGTCAAACTTTCGTTTCGGAGATTTCGTTCAAAACCGAAACTATGGGCTCGGGAGAGACGGTAATATACTAATCAGTTTTGATCATCTAAAGAAAGCGGCGATGACTATAGAATTGTTCCACAGTGAGCAACTTTTCAGCTAACTCGCGTGTCTCGACCATGCGACTTATCTGTCCGCGAAATCGAGCTTTTGTGCGTATCCGCGTTTACGAAACAGCTCCAGTCGTCTGCTCGGCCAACAACACAGGCTGCAGGAAAATCACGAAAATTAAGCAACCGCTTCTTGAGCCAAGGACCATGTTAACCCGCCGCCGCCCTACTAAGCAGCTGATACTTGTATTTCAATTCAGGTTTTAGTAGCAATCGAGAAGTCATTTTGACGAGCGGGTTATGTATTATATTACGTACTATGGGGGGGGGGGGGGGGGGGGGGGGGGGGGGTCCCACTAACGCGATATTAGTATATCCTTCGGGTTGAAATATGAGCTTAGTTGACTAGCTATTAGGTGAGCTGCTGAATAAAAGTATATTTGACAGACGGAGACATACTACTTAAACTTAGCCAAATGGTTCTATAGCCGGCAGCACGGAGACAAACTGAGGAGAGTCTTCATTGAAGATCCACGCAGAACCTCTCTGCATTGAACTTTGCTTCGAATTCTGAACGGAGAAAATTAGTATTTTTTTTGTGGCCGGTCAACCTAATCAATGTAGACGTATACAGCCGCTGGCTTCGACGTCCTCGTAATATAAATATTGGAGGCGTGATAGGTCAAAATGCCGTGACAGCATCTAATGTTGCGAGACTTGTCTCCCACCTTTTGAAAACAGATAATTTCCCTCATTCATCATTTGCAGCGAGCAAGTTTTCCTGAATCAAGTAATTGCGAAATCAGCCCAACTCCTTCAGTGTGGTCCAGAGGCTTTTTCGGCGAAAAGCAGCCAAGATGAATAGCCAACGCACCGACCGGCGTGGGTGGCTCAAACTTGAAGCTAACCGAACACAACCAAACTCAAGAAAAGCAGCTATCGAACCTTCCCATTTACTTGACTGCAACATTGATGTTCCCTCCAGTATCAGTTACCAAGCAGTCGTCACTTTGAATGTGATTTGAGACAGACAAGAAATCAAAAAGTTTTTCCGTGATTCCTCCCCATCCAAGAAATCGAAAGCACGCGACCGTGTGCTGTGGAGTAAACGGGCTTTCAACAGGGACGGCGCCAAGGGAATGCGAGGGGTGGCGGGCGCCTCCCCTACAATTTCTTCTGCCACCCCCAAGTTGAAGCAGCTTTGTACACAAATAATTGCCTACGACGTCGGCTTGAAGACCGAGTGCAACGAGTGTCCAGACTTTAGAGCCGTTCATGCGTTTTATTTTTTTTTTCTATAACTTCCAGCCACTGGAAGTCGTACCGCGGGTAGGGTGCCTTCATGCCTCCCTAAACGCGGGCGAGTAAGCTATCAAGCGCTTTAGAAAAAGCAGCTTCCCTTTGTGACGCCTGCTGGCTTTTCTCCGTATTCCGCTCTGTGGTGCTTATCTTCAGCGGAGACCGGAGACGTGACCGAAGGGGAGCTTAGTTAAAGTCGAGGTCATGGGGGATTCCGGACTGTCTCAGAAGGGGAAGCAAAACCTGGTTGTGAGGCTGAGCACAGGGGGCAGAGGTCCCTGCTGTGATACCCCCCCCCCCCCCCCCCCCCCCCGTCTTCCTCCTCGTGTCTCCGCATTTCCCTTTTCATTGAGCACACCGCATAAGCTATCTTGCATAAGCCCGTGGGCGACAGCACCTCAAAGCAACCGCCCCTTCCCCTCCCCCCCCCCCCCCCAATTTGGTTCGCCTCCCCACTGCCCCCCATTATGAAGATCCTGGCGCCGTCCCTGGCTTTCAAACACGTAATAGAAAAAAAAAACAATCTACTGAGGCTTCACCACACTAATGATCACTCTAAAGATCACTTAAGAAATATTCGGACCTTCGTCAAATTACATTGTTCGCCACCGCGCCGACAACACGTCTCCGCGAAAGCCACCAGAGACGCGGAGGGGCGCGGAGCGACCTGGACCGGCTGGTTCCCGGTTTTCCCGCTTGGCGGCGTCCGTTTTGCTGGAGTCGCGAATTCTCCCATTCTTTCTTGTGCACCGGCGGGTCCACCCATGTCAAATTGCCCTCCGAGAAGGAGGGAGGGGGGGGGGGGGGGGCGGGTCGTCTTTGTTTTGGGGGGGTAAGGTCGCCCCCCCCCCCCCCCCCCTCTTGGATCCGCTCCTGTGTAGCAGGAGCGGCTGCTAAAACTAGTCACCGACGCTTGTATCCTTTATTGCAGCCCCAATCGAGAAGAGAACGTGAGGCAGAATGTAGTATTTTGATTTGCACGAGATGGCGCTACTTGACATCTCCTTTTTAAAGTAGCCATCTCGTGCATCCATGTAAAAGAATAAAAAGGACAGCACGCGACGGCATGAGCCGCGCGTGATCTGCGGCCTCATCGGCCAGTGTTCGCCCCGCTCCTGAATCCGTTGGTTGTCTTTTCTTCTCGCTCCGGCGACCGTCCAGGTCCGCTCGGGGCATGTAGTTTCCCGGCTACGTCGAACGTAAGTCACCGGCGCTTGCGTCCAATGTAGCCAGGCTTTAGAGCACCGCCGCGTCGGCGCAGAATATAACATTTTGGCGACGAGGATGGGATATTTGTTTTAATATGTAGCATTTCCTCTTTTGTAACCCGGGATTCGGGAGGGGGCTTCACTCCGCGTCGCGGGTCAGTGGTTGAGGAAACCGGCGCGTAACTGTATTCATGAAATGTGTTCCTTTTTGTTCCGGGTGAACGGTAGTCATATTTTGCGGAAAGGCCGCGTTTGATGAGTTTCGGGGGGAGGCATTAGGCCTAGGTTTTCAGTACGTTCCATTTTCATCGTGAGATGACTTCGTCATCTTCGTCTTCGAGCGGCCCAACGGCGTTCCCGCCGCCGGCCGTCTTTTTGGCTGTGCCCGGTCCGCCGATAGTAGCTTGGCCGGCATGGAAGCGTGCTTTTCTGACTTTTCTTGACGCGTCGGCGTTGCATCTCGTAGAACCGTTCCGAAAAAAAGCCATCCTGTTTTCGCTGTTGGGCACTGAGGGCCAGCGCATCGTGGATGCATTTCAGCTGTACGAGACGGTTGCGGTGGAGGGGACTGACGAGTTCCAGGTTTTTCTGGAGGCAGTCGAGAAGCATTTTGAGTTTTCGGGTAGTATCGCGCTTGAACGCCAGAAGCTGCGCGGTTTGTTCCAACGTCCTGGCCAGTCGGTAACTGAGTTTCTTGCCGTGTTGCGTCATCAGGCTTCGTTTTGTGCTCTGGGGAACGCGCTCGATGAAAGACTTTGCGAGGTTTTCTTGGAAGGCCTGGAGTCCAGACGCGTTCAGGATCGCGTTCTGCAGGAGTGCGAGGGCAGCGAGCTGCCAACGCTGTCGCGGGCTATCCAGATCGCTCGCCAGTACGAGCAGAGAGCGAAGACGGCCGCAAGTTTTCGGCGGCGAGAGTCGCAAGTCCCGGTCGCGGCAGAAGTTCAGCGTGTCCAGATCGAGAAACGTCAAACGGCAGCAACACAAGATGGCGGCCAAGCGTCGTCTTCTTTCATCGAGCATGGGAAAGATGGCTACAGCGGCTACCCTCCCTGGCCTCAACCTGGCTACCCCCCGTCGCAGCTTGGACCCAGGATGCCTTGGGCTCCGGTGGCCTCCGGTCACGTGCCCCGTTTTCCGGCGAGGGTGTTCCAGCCTCAGCGTGGGCGTGAGCCCGCTCCGCCTCGGACGGGTGGGATCGGAGCAGACGACGCCTGCTACTTCTGTGGACGCCGCCGTCATGATCGAGCGGTTTGCCCGGCGTCTCAAGCGACATGCTTCTTATGTGGAAAGTGGGGACACTTTGCAGTGGCGTGTCAGAGTCGTCGCCCGCCGGCGGCTGCCTTCACCTACGATCGGCGACAGGCATCGTTCCCGGTTCAAGGCCGTGGTACTCGGCGGACCTTCGCCGACAGACAGTTCAGAGGGGACCGGCCCGGCCGGGTGAACGTGGTCGGCCAGTCGCTGTCTCCTGAGGAGCTGCCAAGCGTCAGGCTGACGGAGGAACCTGTGGTCGTCGGAACGGCCGAGCGACGAGAAGGCGGCAGCATGCGTCGTGACGCCTTCATGGCCGAGATCACGGTAAATGGGACCCCTCTTCGTCTTCTTGTTGATACCGGTTCATGTGTGTCGATCCTAAATGAACGCATGTTTAACGAAGTTAACAAGCAGCGGAGGATAAAGTTACATCCGCCGTCGACGCCTCTCGTCCACTATTTGCAAGAGACCATTCCGGTACTTGGATGTTTTGTGGGACAAGTAATTTTTAAGAACCGCTGGACAACGTTGGAGTTTTACGTAACCAAGACTGGACGTTCGTTACTCGGCATCGACGCGGTCCGCGAGTTGCAACTGGTGTTGAATGGCGCTAAACATGAGTGTTTGTATGCGAATGCAGCTCACGGAGGAGGAGCATCACAGCGGGATGTGAGGCCCATGCCCAACCCGCAGCGACGACCGTTCACCGCGTCGTCCTGTCAAGCATCGCAAGTCCCTGGTTCTCGACCAGCGGCAAGTTCCAGACCTTCATTTGCGGAGAACCCGTCTCCTGCTTCATCGGTCTCTGAAGAGACCACACCTAAAGTCTTCGAGGACGAGTCAAGTCCGCAACGTCATCCTGAGAGTCGAGGGCTCCATAGTCCGCAACGTCATCCTGAGAGTCGAGGGCTCCATAGTCCGCAGCGTCATCCAGAGAAATCCAGTCCTTCAACGAGCCTTGTTGGTGGTTCCTCGAAGCGAGACACATCCAAGTTGCCACCTGGCTTCGAAGATTTTGAACATCTTTTTAGCCCGGGGTTGGGTCTGCTGAAGAATTACTCGCACAAGGTCAAGGTGCGGCACACAGTTCCACCAGTCCAATCAAAGCTCCGTCGCCTCCCGATGACCCTAAGGGATCGGGTTTCCGAAGAAATTTTCAAGCTGGAGCGAGAGGGCGTAATTGAACGTGTCGAAGCCTCCGAGTGGGTGTCACCTATTGTTGTCGTCCGCAAGCCCGATGGCAACATCCGTATGTGTGTGGACCTACGAGCTCCGAACCAGGCCGTTGTCATTGATTCATTTCCACTTCCTTGCATCAATGAACTGTTGAACTCTCTACGGGGAGCGGCGATCTTCTCCAAGCTGGATTTGGCGTCCGCCTACCATCAAGTCCGTCTCGACCCGGTGAGTCGTGACCTCACGTCTTTCATTACCCACGAGGGGTTATTTCGCTTTAAGAGAGTTTGCTTCGGGCTGGCATCTGCACCCGCAGCTTTCCAGCAACTCATGTCCAAAATCCTAAGGGATTGTCCAGGCGTTCAGTTCTATCTGGACGATATCATCGTTTATGGATCCACTTTGAAGGAGCACGATGAGAATCTCCGTCGTGTCTTGTCTCGAATTTCCCAAGCAGGAATGAAGCTAAACCGTAAAGGTGTTTTCCAAGTACAGGAGCTCTCATTTTTGGGACACCATCTTTCCGTGAAAGGTTTAGCACCCCTGTCATCCAAGGTAGATGCGGTCCTAAATTTTGCAACTCCCTCTGATGCAGTGAAGTTAAGAGCATTTTTAGGGCTGGTAGAGTACTACAGCAAGTTCATCCCTCATTGTTCCACCATCGTCGAACCGATGCGTCGTCTCCTACGTAAAGGAGTTCGTTTCAACTGGTCTCCGGAAGTCGAGGCCAGTTTTCAGAAAGTAAAGACTTCCATCCAAGAAGCTCCAATTTTGGCCATGTTTGACCCGACGTTGCCTATCGTCGTGGCCACAGATGCTTCTCAGTACGGTCTCGGTGCTGTTTTGCAGCAGCAGTATGGTAGCCAGCTTCGTCCTGTAGCCTTCGCGTCTCGCTCGCTAACTGATGCAGAGCGAAGGTATTCCACGGGCGAGAAGGAAGCTCTCGCATGTCTTTGGGCGTGTGAAAAGTGGCACGTGTATCTGTGGGGAAGGTCTTTTGTCATTCGTACTGACCATCAGGCGTTGGTCACGTTGCTGTCCAACAAAGGTTCCGGAATCCGTCCTCTAAGGATCACTCGTTGGTCCTCCCGACTTCTGAATTACAATTTCAAAATGGAGTTTCAGAAGGGCGCCACCAACGTCGTTGCTGACGCGTTTTCACGGTTGCCAGTGTCTGACACTGAGGAGGGCATGAGATTCGACGAGGAAGTTGTTTCCGTCGTAATGGTTCCTTTGTCGAAAGGCGGTTTTCAACAGGCTACGGCCAATGACATAGTTCTTCCTTCAGTCATCCGCTATACTACCTCGGTTTGGCCTGAAGATAGTAAAACCAATCCAGATCTCCGGCCTTACTATCACGTCAGAGACCAACTGTCGCTGTACGACGGTATTTTGTACAAGGGAGAAAAACTTGTCGTCCCTGTCGAGTTTCGAGACCGGATCGTGGAAGTAGCACACGAAGTTCATCAGGGGATCACAAGAACCACAAGTGTGATCCGGGAACACTACTGGTGGCCGTTGATGAATGAACACATAAAGAACAAGATCCAGAACTGCACGGTGTGCCATGCTACCGACAAACCAGTGAAGGCTGCACCGGCTCCCTTGCAGCCCATCCAGTTTCCAAGTCAGCCCTGGGAAAAGCTAGGAATCGACATCGTGGGCCCGGTTGATCGTGCACCGGCCAGTCAAAGGTTTTTTTTGGTACTCATAGATTACCACTCCAAGTGGCCAGAAGTTCAAGCCACGTCTTCGGTGACTTCTGCGACTGTCATCAGCTTTTTGAAGAACGTTTTTTCACGCGAGGGACTGCCCTGCGAGATTGTGTCAGATAATGGAGTACAGTTTACCTCCCATGAATTTCAAGATTTCTTGCGTCAACATGGCATCAAACATAGGAGAACGTCATTATACCACCCCCAATGTAACGGGCAGGTGGAAAGATTTAACCGAGTCCTGAAGTCGTGCCTTCAGTTAGCTGTTGTACAAGGTCGTCCACTTCCAGATGCCGTCCGAGACCACCTGGAAGCGTACCGACGTACGGTACATCCTGCAACAGGATTTGCACCATCCTTTCTCCTTCATGGACGAAATCATCGGTCTAGACTAGACGTACAAGGCATGCCGACTAGGACGGTACCTGACGATCTCTTGGAACGTCGAGCTCAGCTACAAGGAAGAGTACAGCGCTATCAACAAAACATGAAAGATTATTCTGACCATCGTAGAGCGGTACGACACCCTCAGTTTCATCCTGGGCAGGCTGTTCGTGTATTCAAGCCCACCCATCACAACAAATTGCGGAGTAGCTACACAGAACCACAACGGATACATGCACAGTTAGGACCTGCTACATATCAACTCGCTGACGGTAGGAGGTGGAACGCAGCGAAGCTTGCAAAGTCCATACAGCTGCCTCCAGCACAAGTTCCTGACTACGGTTGGGATGATGATGATGACGAAGATGACTTGTATATACCTCCTGCAACTCCAGTGGTTCCTGTACTGACCCCTGTCCGTGGAAGCACTTCAACGTCCCAAGTACCAATTGTCTTTTCTTGCCCGGTGGGTTCCTGTGACCCCGCAGCGTCTGGTCTCTTGGGGAGACCCGGTTCATCTGCTGCACCCATGGCAGGTGCACCTCGCCATGCAGCGCTGGGTTCTCCCAAGGAGCCAGATCTGTTTGCTGCGGCAAAGTTTACAGTTCCGGTTGCTGTGGCCGAGTCTCCTGCTCCGGGTGCTGTACCGGGGCCTGTTCCTGGACCTGTTCCTGGAACTGTTCTTGGAGCTGTCCCTGGGCCTGCCTCTGTTCCTGGGGGCCCTGCTCCTGTTTCTGAAGGGAATCTCGGGTCGGCTGTACCCGACATGATCGGGATCTCTGCACCTGAGCTCTGCCCTGCTTCCGTGGCAGACGCTGGACAGTCTGTGGAGCCTGACAGGCTTGTCAGGCCTGTTCCTGAGGCTGCGGTCAGGCCTCTTCCTGGGCCAGTGGTTGTTGCTGCTCCGGACGCTGTGCCAGGGTCATCACCAGAGTCCGTGGTTGCAGAGCAACTACCTGTCTCCGATCTGGCAGTTTGCCCAGACACACGGGCAGATCTGCTCGTTTTGCCGTCGCCAGAAATGAGTACTCTGGAGTCTTCGGGAACGAGTACGCCATCTATGCCTCCACTTGAGGATTCAGTGGAAGAACTCACGACCGAGTTCCACACACCACCCACGATCTCCGAGCCATCTACAGCTCCTCTACCACCAGCGAGGCAAGGTCGGCCAATACGCCAGAGAAGACTTCCGCTGAAGTTCAAAGACTATATTCTTGCACTTGGCGATGATAGTTTTCAGTCAGATTCGGAGTACAGTGACTAAGACTTTTGTAGTTATGTTTTCGTAAAAGGTCATTTTTGGTATCAAGTTTGGGTACATATAGAACATTAAAAGCATATCACTGTTATAGCAAAACCTTGGCCAAGGTAAAAATGTCCATGACAAACACAATATTCTAAACAATAACCAAACTAACAAACTAACAGTCAACACTACAATGTGTCATGGACATTAAAATAGGTATGGTTGGATGTTTCATTTTCTTCCCAGGAGGAGGAGAGATGAGAGTGCTCCAAGTTGAAATATGACTCTTGGAATGAAATTTTGATCGTCACGTGACTAGTATGATGCAACTTGAACTTTCAGTGAAAACCCGTTTTGTTCGGATGACTTGTTTAGGATTTTGTTGAATTTTCCGTGTCGTGCACACAAAGAACGTTTATGAACAATCTTTTGCGAATTTCATATTTTTTTTTTTTTCAACGAACAATTTTAAAACCAATATTTCAGTGAAATAACGCAATTTTCGGGTGGTGAAGTGTTTTGATTTTCGTTATTTTTTTCACATAACGAATGTATAACGTAAGTCTTCCTCCCACAATTTTCTTATTTTTTTTAAGGGAGGGAGAATGTAGTATTTTGATTTGCACGAGATGGCGCTACTTGACATCTCCTTTTTAAAGTAGCCATCTCGTGCATCCATGTAAAAGAATAAAAAGGACAGCACGCGACGGCATGAGCCGCGCGTGATCTGCGGCCTCATCGGCCAGTGTTCGCCCCGCTCCTGAATCCGTTGGTTGTCTTTTCTTCTCGCTCCGGCGACCGTCCAGGTCCGCTCGGGGCATGTAGTTTCCCGGCTACGTCGAACGTAAGTCACCGGCGCTTGCGTCCAATGTAGCCAGGCTTTAGAGCACCGCCGCGTCGGCGCAGAATATAACACAGATATACTCAAATTCAGACACAAACTACACAAACTTCAGGGTGGTGATGATATTTCGATGTTTCACAGGCAAATCGTGGGCATTTGAGCACATCAAAAGCTACAACAGCGTGTTCTGTGCTTTGAACGGCCCGCCGAGCACTGGACATCAGTTCGTCGAACGACGTCTCATCGACAAATCCTTTCGTATACTGCGACGTTTTATCGATACTTCGTTTCATCGAGAGGCTCCTGCGATCGTTTCATCGACACGTCTTTCGACCTTTCGTTAAAAGAGTCTGTCCGAGCACATCGGAACCTCGGCGGTTCTGATGAAGGCTGGTGCAAGCTCGGGCCTGAGATTATATTAAAGTTTTCCCGAGCGGAGTGAGGGGTTTCCGTGCGTAGCATGAGGTGTTTCGAAGCCCAGGGTTAGGGCTCGCGAATTTGGTTCTGCCCTATTGGTGCCGCCCGAGTGAGTTCGCTTTAGTCCCGCAGAGAACCAAATCAGCGAGTAATTCCAATCCGATCCACATAGCAAAGCAAAAACAACAACAAAAAAATGAAAACTTGAAAGAATAAAACATTGAGGACGAGGACGGAAACAGGAGTCCTGTTTCCGTCCTCATTCTCGATGTTTTATTTCTTCAAGTTTTCGTATCAATTTAACAACACGCTCGTTTTCAATTATTGCAACAAAAAAAAAAAGGCATTGAAACGTCACAATTGCTTGCGTTCACGAAACAAGTTTCAACGAACCATCCCAGTGTCAACGAAATGTATGTCCACGAAATGAATGTCCATGAAAATTTGTCCTCGAAAAGGGTTTCGGCGAAACGATGTAGAGCCCTGCCGAGCACACGTGTCTGTGCAATTTCAAGGCAGCGTGCTCGAGCGTGTAGTTTCCGCTTTGCTCGCGCTTATGGTGAAACAGTGGTTGCCTTCTAGATATTCACAGTGCAAACTACTTTTCACGTCGTCACACGCTTGCTTATTAATATTGCTTTAGTTGTTAGTTTACACTGCGACTCAGCTCCGATTACAAAAATACCTACGCTACTGGTCACGTGTGCCACAGTCAACACAGAATGTTCACGTGCGCCGCTCGTGTTGTCTTTCAAGAACAATTGTGACGGTGTAATATCACGTGGCGAAAGTTCGCTGTCAGCGCGCGCTTTGTAACGAGCCCTCGACCGAGAAGAGTCCATAGAGTTAGTACAATAAACGCTACAGGCTCAGCTGGCGCTAGTGTCTACGGCACTTCGGGTTGGAAATTGAAGCAGACAGCAACCAGTCGACTTTTCCAGTCTTCTTGTGTATTCCTATGGGAAAACGCACGTGATATTTTTTTCTTCGCCGGGGAATAATAGAAATCAACGCAGTTTCTTTACTCGTAACGGGTACTATGTAGCTTTATTCACATTATAAAAGTGTAATTTATTTAGCTAATGTTTTTTTTTATTATTACTGAGCGATGTTTAAGTTAGCAAAAATTCAGGCGCAAGTCCAGGTTGTACAGCATGATATTGCCGCGCGCGCTCGCCAAGTAGGCAGCGCGCGCGTGGCCTAATGGTTATCGCGCCTGCCTCCCACGCGAAAAGCTAGGGTTCGAATCCTGGAGCGACATGTCTTTTGTTTATTCCTCTAATTTAGTGTTCTGGAGAATTCGAGAATCATGTTGCTTGTTCCAGGCCCGAATGTTCCACGCGTCGAAGTTTCTTCGCCGATTATTCCAGAAGACCACGCATGTACATAAGGGGCTCCGCGTGGCGAGCCGCAGTCAGTTTTCGCCCCAGCGTTCGACTGTGCTGCTACGCCGACTTCGACGCCCGCGACGCTCTGTTATTATCTTTGTACCCTTTTAGTTTTTGGCACAAGTTCGCCACATTAAACGTTTCTTTCTCTCTGTTTATTTAGTGTTCCTTTGGTCACCACCCGTGACATTTTGGTGGAGGTGCGGGGTAACCGCATGCCCGTGCAGCGCTCCCCTCCGAGTTCTCGGAGTACAAGTCCGAACACAAGCCCCCAAGAACCCAACGAGGACCAGACCGAGATCCGATTAAGTCGCCGGAACCTTGGCCTACCCCCGGAGTTAGGACCCTTGCCACCCAGGACCAGGCAAACAAGGAGGACGACGATGGCCAACCAGTCGGAGACCCCGGCCGCTCCAGCCGTCGTTTACCTGCCCGTCGTACCGCGGACGGCTGCTCCATTCCACGGCGAGCAATACGAAGACGTCGAAGACTGGATTGACCAGTATGAACGCGTTGCCCGCCACAATTGCTGGACCGACGAGCAGCGCCTGAACAACGTCTATTTCTCGCTTGAGGGTACCGCCAAGCACTGGTACGAGAATCATGAGTCCTCTTTGACGTCGTGGGACATGTTCAAGACCGATCTCAAGGCTACGTTCAGCAACCACCACCGCCGAGAGAGAGCCGAGGACCTACTGCGAACCAGAACCCAGGGCCCCAACGAGAGCGTCACCGGCTTCGTCGAGGATGTTCT